CGAGCTGCAGAGCTCGACTCAGCGTTCATGAAGGCGCAAAGGGAACCCTGTGACATTGTCACATTCACGTTTGGTCACGACGCGTTCAACTGGTACCGTCAGTCCACTCCCAGCTTCAAGTTTGTGTCTGACCAACTGTCTTTCGACCCAGGCGGAGTCTCAAAGACTCGCATCAACAATCTACCCGATTTTCTCTCTTTACCGACCTAGGTTGGAAAACAGTCCAACATGAATGGCCCAAGGCCGCCAGGCTACATTCAATGTCCTTCAAGTTCGAATTGGAACGAAAGGCAGCAATGTGGGAAGCACTCCACTGGGGCTGTTTCTTCTATGGATTTAAACGCCAACTCCTAGGTATGGAATTGCTTTCTAGGCCTACTACTTATGTCCGACACTGTGCTTCCGAACATTCTTCGAACGCTGAAAGCGGTACAATTGTCCTCTACGGTCCCCCACAGCCTTATCCTCCTCCGAGCCTTTTGTCGATCGGACGGCAAACACAGCGTAGCGTAGAATTCGCAGGCGCTTAAATCAGTTTAGCGCCCGTGCTACTTTCGGGGCGGCACAGCGCAATCAGATTCTTATCATACAGCTTCGAACATCATCGGCGCACTTCGCGTTCGAGGCTGAGTCATTCTCACGCTGCAGATCAGGCACCTCTTAACTCGCGACACACACATCCCCTCCACATCGATTCAAGGACTAGTACTATGAATCCTTGGGGACCAAATCCATGGGGGGCGCCGGCAGCATACTACCAGCCTGGATTTGCTCCTCCAGGGTATTGGCCCGGGGGTCAGCCCGGTTGGGCGCCTCCAAACAACGGTGGTGCGCGACATTTACCCCCACGCGCAATCCCCACTGACGTGTTTCTGCTGCAGGGTTCTCCGCCAAGTATCCTAACCTGCACCCAATCCTCGCGTCCGATTCGACGCAGGTGCGGTACGATGTGCGCAAAAAGGCGCGCAACGACATCCCACCGGCGGTGTACACGCCGACCCGAGGCCTGTTCGCAACTGCGAGCTCGGCGTCGCACGTCCGCCTCATATCCAAGGCGTTCCCGTGGTCGATCGATATTATGTCGAACGCGCCGGTAACGGTCGAGGCCATATGGGATGCGCTCCATGCCGCAGTGCGTCCTGCTCTCCATTGGTTCTTGCTTACCTGCGTCTAATCTGGCTGCTACAGCTCCAGCAGCACATTGCTGATTCGGAGTGGGGCTTTATCATCGGCGACAGAAAGCTGCGAGAGTCGATTGAGAAGGCAGCCAAGAAGCGCGCCGAATCAGACAACGACCAGAAGCTAAAGCGCATCGATTGGCTTGGGGGGAACACGATCTTCAAGGGTCTGGACAGGATGGACGATTTTGCAGAGCTTCGGCTGCTGAATGGCATCGAGCCTTGTAACGAGACCTGGGTCGTTAAGCTCGGGTCTTCGTGAGGATATGACTTTAATATGTATCTCTTTATCTGTCGTTTTCCTTTTTGTGCGATAATGGACAAGCTGTAACGTTAGACTTCGTTTTGGAAGAGGCAGAGTCTTTGTTGTGGTCGATATCTTTCGAAAGGTGATCGATCGCTCGACCGCTTCAACTTTTTTCTTCTCGCCAGTTTCGCGCCATGGTTTCCTTCCAGTTCGTTGCTCGTACCCTCCTGACCTTCTACCCAAATTAATGTATTTATCGCAGATGCCATGCCTGCCAGGACACTGTGAAAAAACCAAAACTCGACCAGCATTACAACCGCTGTTACGCTGGTTTTGACTGCATCGATTGCTCTAAGACGTTCAACTCACCCGCAGAATACAAGGGGCACACCCAATGCATTAGCGAGGCTGAAAAATACGAGAAGAGCGTCTACAAAGGGCCCAAAACTGCTGTTTGTCCGCCGCTATCTTAGACATAAAAAGGACCTGATGTAGCATTGAAGGCAGACGGAAAGAGCACGTATCCGGCGCGTCCGCCAGCACCGCAGAACACCGTGCGCAATTGGACTGTGGGTGGGCGCGGAGGACGCGGTGGAGGGCGAGGAGGAGGAGGAGGATGGGGTGCAGCGCGCTCCTCGGCAACTGGTGCGAATGATACACCACTAGGGACGCCGACACGGACGTCGCCCCCGATACCTGCCGTCCCCGCGGCCGCTCCTCCTCCCGATGTCACCGAGCGACTTCAAAAAGCCGTCGAGGCAGCGCCGGAACCCGTTCCAAAAAAGGACAAGAAAGAGAAAAAAGCCGAGAAGGAAAAGGCAAAACTAGAGTTGAAGGAGAAGAAAGCCAAAGAGAAGCAAGAGAAACGGGATAAGAAAAAAGCAGCGGCTGCGGAGACGGTAATTTTGCCAATTATTCGCGGTTTCTGTTACTCATCGCGACGTTAGCCCGCTGCAGAGCCCACTGCCGCCGAAAAGGATGGCGGGACGAAGACTCGCAAGGCGCTACGGCAAGAGACCGCAGAACTCAAGAAGGCTGAAAAACGGGCTGCCAAGGTGAGCGGTAGCGGCAGCGATGCACCGGAGCCGCCTGCTACACCGGAAGAGTCTACGACACCGAAAAAGCGGAAACACGACGAGATCGCCGTCGACGCGCCGTCAATACCGGATGCCGAACCCGTTGAGAAGAAACGCAAGAAGGATAAAAAGGACAAGAAAGCGAAACAAGCAGCGGTCGAAGAGGCTGCGGCAATGGAGGAGGTTGACGCAACTCCCCGAGCTTCAGAGAAGAAGCGGAAAAGGAGCAAGAGCGGCAGTGAGGGGGGAATGGACGACGTAGCCCCATCGATACCAGTCGACGAGTCGGCCGATAAGAAGCGGAAAAAGGACAAGAAGACGAAAGGCGATGCGGCGATTGAGCCTTCGGAGGGAGAACCGCCGTTAGGCAAGAAGCGGAAAGACAAAAAGTTGCTTCCGTGTTAGTTCTGTTAGTTCTGCTATGGATGTCGTCTCAAAGGAAAAAAGTAGTGACACAGCATGGTTTCTCTAAGTACAGTACATATATTTCTGGCTTCAGTGAGGGTATAATCCACGCGCTCTGTTGCGCAATCAGAACGACGTCGTCGAATCAACTTCAATGGTCGGCACGATAGACGCGATGAACTTGAGGAACACGACGAGGTAGAAGTCAACCCGCATGCCCTCGACGTCGTCGTCTCCCTCGGCCGCACCCGCTGCCGCTCCCTTGTCATCCTTCCCATTACCGCTGTTCTTGCGGCCGAACCACTTCTTCTTGCCGTCCTTCGAGGTCGCCTTGCGCTGCGCAAGCTGCTCCGCGACGACGCTACTGTTCATGCGTTCGATGACCTTCTTCATGACACTCGCATGTTTGCAGGGATGGACGGATGCAGCCTGCAGCGAAACGGAGTGCGGGAATGGCTCAATGGTGACGGTCTTGAAGGCATAGTCGGCGGAAATGTCTTGGAAGATTTGGGGCGGCGTCAGAGGCGTGCGGTTCTTGAACGAAAAGTCAGGCTCATGGGAGGGAAACCTGAGGCGGAGGAATCTGACCTCATCGTAGCCGAGCAGCCAGATACGGGGAGTCTGGTAGTACTTATCGTAGGTTATCATGACGTCGTACGTCCGCACTTGCAGAAGATTTCCGTTCGCAACTTGCACTTGGCTGGGATAATCATTAAACGGGTACGAGGTCGGATAAATCATTCATACCTAGCGTCAATAACGCCAGCCTTTGGCGCAGCAGTAGCTTCATCCTCTTCCTCCTCCAGACCTTCCTCTTCCATATCGGGGATATCGTCTAGATCGGGGGTCTCGTCGCCGCCCGCCAAAGAGAGGTTGCCGACACCCTGGGTAACGGAGGTTTCCGGTGCGGCGTCTAGGTCGGGAATGTCATCGATGTTGCCTGGATTGGAGGAATCCAGGTTCGCCTTGCGGCCAGCATGAGTTTCGACCCAGTCGTCGGCCCCAGAGTCACCAAACGACAGCATGCGTTCGGCATCCTCGTCGGCGTCCGTGTAAGCGAGCGATGTTGCTCGGCGCAGGCAAGGAACCCCTCGGGTAACAAGATATTGCTTGTCTGCGGGGAGGTAATCTTTGGCCTTAGATGGGTCGCCCGCTTCCCTGAGGCGCGGATAGCATGAGCTGTTGGTTGCCTCGTGCAAGGAGGGTCACTGACCAAGTCCATACTGGGAACTTGTAGGCCAGAAAGTCCCCTGCGGCTAGAAACTCCTCTGCAGAACGTCAGACACAAATGGTTTATTCAATTGACGGTCAGACCGGGTGTGATACGGCCATGCTCTTTAAACTTGCTCTCTTTGAGAACCTGGACAAGAGGATTAGTGGACGATGGAAGCACCTTTGGCTGCTTACAGGGCTTAGGTATTCTCGAACGGACCAGAATTGTTGCTACATATGAATGAGTAAAAGAATTCCCCAATGGCGAGAACGTAGACCTGAATGGCGTGCATTTGAGAGCAAGAACCAAAGAGTCAGACGTCCACATCCAATCGATTATTGTCCACGAGCACAGCCACCTGCCGGCGGCAGCGTCGCATGTTCAAATTGCCAATTGAAGTTCAACACGTCTCGCTTGAACCAAGCTACAGCCGTTTGCGTGCTTTTATATTCGCGCTGCATGTGCCTGATGCCGAGTTGCCCATGCACAGAGGAGGCCGCCAAAGACTTCGGCACGCACTTGTTATGATCGGAGATGTGGCTTGCCATCGGGCCGGGTGCGGGAAGTTCACCAGTTAATGAAGGCGCGACAAAAAAATCGTGTTCACCTTGTGGAAACGATTGTAAGCTTGGGCCATGTCAGAGATACTCAAATTTACAGGCCCAATAGTCGAATGCTTCCGATGTTGAATGTGGTCCAATGGTGTAGTTGGTTATCCAAGGACAAGCGAGCCTGATGCGCAGGCTAATTCAAATTGGAGGCTGTCAGCGTTGTCATGCGCGAAACAAAGCAGACGTTCTCTTGTCGCTCCAACTCGCTCGAGCCCTGGTTCGACTCAATGCAATTCCATGACATTTGCATCCTTTTACAAGGCAGATATCGGTCCGATGGTGTAGTTGGTTATCACTTCTGTCTAACACGAGTTCCTCTCACGGTCGCGTGCCACACAGGCGGTCCTCAGTTCGAACCTGGGTCGGATCATTTTTTTGCTCTTTCCTTGCGGCGCGATGAGAACGATGTAGCAGAGTCCAACCATAACGTCAAACGCAAGGATTCGATTCGATTCGTTGCTCATCAGCTCTTACTCTTCACAGGCAGTCCTCAGTTCGAACCTGGGTCGGATCAGCTTTTTAGCTGAATCTTCTTCCAGTAAAAATTCAATACAGTAAGTCCCTATGTGGCACATACTTTTTTCCCCACCATTTCAGACAAGATCCAGAGAAGACTCAATGCAACAACACATAAATTTGAAGTGTAGGAGCCAAAGTCGACGGCGTGGAATTCCCCCGGCTTCAAGCGAAGGTTCAAAAGTTGAGAACCTCTCCACGACGTAGTCCTCCACAGCAGGGCCCAGGTGCTATATGATATCTTGTTTAATATGAAATCTGGCGAGAGGTGGGAGTTGGTGAGTGAATACAAGTTCAAATAGGAAGCTGAAGACTTGTTGAAGTTGGTAATCACAATTATTCCACAAGCTGTCCATTTCATTCACTCCCTCGCTTTCCCTTTCACTGATCGCTCGTAGCCTGAATTGTTATCTGGATTGCTCCGGTCTTCTGTTTAAAATCAAACATTGACATTTTGGGGCCAATTCGATGCTGCGCCAGTGGCAGCCGCCGCTTCCAACAGTTCTGGGATATCGTCACTTCAAGACGAGATGAAGGAAGGTAGGTTGGCAGCGTGGTGGGCACAAATCTTATTTGAGACAGCAAAGTTCAACCGTGGGAACCGTGAGTGTTATTTGATGGAACGGAGCATTACGCGGCGACAAGCACACTACTGTACCAGGCAGGTAACAATTCCCCGTAGATCTCCGAAGAGGTTCGAACCCGTTATTTTTTGATATTGCCTGAGCAATAGGGGAAATTTCCGGTGTCGAGCGAGCGATCTGAGTCCTTACAGTAAATGAAACCACCAGGTGATGCATATGCCATATGGGAGTTGTATGAACCGAGAACAAAGACGACCGCGACATTCGTGACATGATGAAAATGCGGGTCTAGGTGAAATGGGGACACAGGAGGAATTCTCCTAGTATCCTTAGATTATAACGATATAAAGTAGTAGTTAGTCAATCTTGTGCACCGTCCTCGATTGTTTCAACTTCTATGCAGCAACGAGGACAGCTCTGTATCGTATCTTCCCCTCGCGTAACCGCCTCATGCCCTCCTCGGCCCCACTCCTCGTCAGCGGGAACTGCTCAACGACCGGTGCGATGTGATTCCGTGCAGCGAAATCAAGCATCCGCCTGTGCACGGAGCGCGCCGCGACGGTGGTGCCCTGGATATTTATGCCCGCCAGGACAATTGACATCGTGGGGATGACGAGGTCGTTGAAGCTGATGGTGAGCGGATATATGGTGCTCTTGGGCTTCATGACGCTGAGGAATCTGGAGAATTGTCGCATCAATGAGCTGCGTGGGAAAAAAATTGGGCAACGTACGGTTTCCAATCGGGGAGGAAGCTCGTCGTGACCATGAGGTGGTCAAGCGGGGCAATGTCGAAACTCTCAACGCCTTTCGTGACATGAAATTCTGTTGCGCCGAGGTGCATTGCCTCCTCGCGTTTCGAGTCCGTGTTGGAGAAGACTACGACGCTCGCACCCATCTTTGCGAGGAACTGGATTGCGAGGTGACCCAGGCCGCCGATGCCTACGACACCGACACGCTGCGTGGGGCGAATATTGTATGTCTCAATCACTTCGAAAACGGTCGCGCCGCCGCACATGAGGGGGGCTGCGTGTTCAGGTGCGAGGGCATCAGGCACTTTGAAGAGGAACGACGCGTCCCATATGGCGTGCGAGCCAAAGGAGCCCTGGTGGTGGTTGTGCATCCCGTAGTGTTCTCGGTTCGGACAATATTGGTCTTGGCCTGTGGAGAAAATCAGCCAAGAAATACAAGAGATTGAGGACCACGGCAGCATACCAAGTAAACATTGCTCGCACATGCCGCAAGTCTTATGCGTGAACCCCCAGCCCACGACATCGCCGACCTTGAACTGGGAGACACGATCGCCGATCTGCTCGACGGTGCCGACACCTTCGTGCCCGAGCACCATGTCAGCGTGCTTGAAGTGCTCGTCGGTGCCACATATTCCCGAGTGCGTAATTTTGACGAGGACCTCGTTCCCTTTAGGCCCGTCGTGGTACGTCTTGCTCTCGACAATACCCTCGTTGGCTGAGCCCTTGAATACCGTGAATTCGATGCTCATGTTTTTTGCTGGAATCGGAGAAGGTTGGAAGAAATTGAATGATCCTGCACGACAATTTTTGGACGCTTTTATAGCCATGCCCGACGACTGAGTACTGAGCCTACGGGAACATCTAGCATAGCCGACCGTCAGTGAAAGCGTAGTAGATTAGGGGCTGAGTAACGGAAAACAACCGGTCAACCGTTTGACTGAGCCACGTAAGGGGTTTGCTGAACAATGCCCGAATCGGTCCTGACTTATCCGCCGTGTGAGGACCGAAGTAGCTCTCTCTGAGTTGACTTGAGGTCTATTAATATCGATAGGACCGTGTGGGCCACTGGGAAGGACGCTTCAAAACTTTTCAAGTAGATTTTTACAAGAAAACTGATGCAAGTTATTATTTCGATAAATAAAAAACGAATAGAATGAGCAGACGTACAAGCTGTTGAGATCACTAAACCCACCGGCCCCCTGGCCTGGTAACCCAAAGATAGGTTCTTGAGCTGCGGTGGCTGATAGATAGCCCGGGCTCTCCAGAATGGCTGATGACGAACATGATCCTGGATATGTTAGACATTGGGCTATGGGTATGGCGAACTGACATTTATCATCACGGTAGCATTGAGCACAAACTTGGGAACCGTTCCAGTGCGAATTTCGTCGTGACCAGCGAGCGGTTCTACCACGTCAGATCTGCAGCATAGACAATGGTGTACGCCCAATACGCCACCGATAGCTATAGCAGATATACAAAAACAGTGAGGAGAAGCAGGATCCTCAGCTGTTGACTTGGGCCTTCGATTTCGCGTGCCCCAGTGTTCGAGAATTTTGAACAATCCAGTCTGCAGAGGTCTTCAGACAAGTTCGTGCATCGCTTACTGCAGCGTCCGAGACTCCGAGTCGAGAGACAGAATAGAAAGGTGTATAATCCTGTCAGTGGGATCAACTTGAAGCACGCAAGTGCGAATCCGACAACGTTCAGGCCAAGGTTTGTTTTGGCACGACAACAAAGAGGGGATCGAGTTTGAGTTTGATTGTCTAGGGTAATCGTACCTGGCCTATTTAGACTACGCGACTGTGCTATACTACAGTGGTATGTAAGTATGTAGAGGGTTTTTAGGTAGCTACGAGCTGGTGGTATTTGTGAGACGATTTCAGAGGCACTGAGTGTACTTACGGACCGTACTTGGACCGTACGATACAATGTTCTCTCCGGACTCGGACACCTGAGAAGCGGCCAGAGGCTCTTGAGACAATCAATGACAATGAGAGGTCAAGGATATCGTCTTGAAATGAGCCATCCGGTAAAAAAGCAAGGTAAGTAAATTCTATTTATCGATCGCCTTCTCCTTGTCTCGCCGTATACGTGATCTGAACGACTATCTTCAGAGTCACGCCCGGGAGACTAGAGAGGCTGAAATCGAGCCTAGTCTCGCCGGCACAGTGAAAGAAGTAATGAGTGTGTAAAATATTCCTCGTTTGAGCATTGAGGACCCATTATTTTGCTGGATGTGTACAATGATGCTATTATATCCTGACTATATACCGAGTCCGGGATACCATTTCACGCATCTGCGCCCACTGTCCGAGTCGACTCGTTATCCTCCTGTCTCTGCACTACAACGGCTTTGCGGGGCAAATCCCACCTGCGCCCATCTTCCCCGGACGGAAGCTCCAACCGGCTGCTATCCCCACTCCTCCAAGTGCTCTCTCGACTCCCTCCCCCCGGTAAGCTCGTCCGGAACTCGGAGTACGTGCTCTCCACGTCGCCGCCAGCCGAGAGCGACGGTGCCTTCCCCACATCGATATCGTCGTCTCGCGCCGTGTCCGCTCCCCCAAACAACACCGAATGCGGGCGCGTCTTGAGCAGCAGCGCGACATTCACCGCACCACTGAGGCCGTACAGCGATACAACCGTAAACGTCGCCGCGCTCGGCATCGTTCCCTGCGTAAATTCGATCCAGCGCACGATGCTCAGAGGGAGCACGACCATGCAGTACGAGATGGGGTACGCGATCATCGCGTACGCGGCTTTGCGCGTAAACTTGCTCGTATCGGGCAAAGATTTAAGTGCTGGGGGGCGGCGGTGAAACTTACAGCGCCACCACGCAGTCTCGCTGACGGTGAGGTTCCCGCGCGCCCAGAAGAAAAGCGTGAGGTACGCGAGCGATGAGACCAAGAGCGTGATCCAGAACCAGACGTACTCGCCCCCGAGGCGCAGCCCGAGGAAGTTTTGCCCGATCCAACACCAGTAGGGTGTGGGGGCTTCGTACAAATCGTGCTTGTGGGTGGCGTTGCCGATCCCGACAAGGAGCGCGACAAATACCCAGACTAGCGCCACGAGGAAGGTGGCTAGGCGCGTCGAGCCTAGGCCTTTGCGCCACCAGACACCGACGAACGTGAAGATTGTTATCAGCTGTATCTTCACGTCAATTATGATTCCATACGAATGGGGAGGGGATCCATACGAGCGTCGTGATCGCCACGCTGGTTTCCCCCAACTGCTGTACCACGCCCTGTGCCGAGCAGTACATGCCCGCCTGAACCTTGCCGTCGTGTACCCAGCGGACGTCCATGACGGCTCCCATCGCCTGGACAAGATCCGCGACGAAGAGGGAGAGAATGAGGACGTCGGTGGGCGTGTGGAGTAGGGGCCGTGTGCGGGTGAGGCGGAAGTGACGAATGGCGTTGCGCTGCGCGGGATTTTGATGATGAGAAGATGAAATCATAGTATAGAAAATGCAAAAAAAAAAGCCAAGTAGACTGTTAAAAAATGGAACGAGCATGAATAGC